CCCTGTTAGAGAACCTGGTGATCTGATTAGTAAGCTGGCAGATGACACAAAGATTGGTGGAGCTATAGATAGTGAGGAGGATTGTCAGAGGATACAACACGGCACAGACTGGAGCCTTGGACGGAGAAATGACACATAGAATTTAATCCAGACAAACATGAGGTGTTTTGAAAGGTCTAATGACGGTGAGAAGTACATAGCATATTGTGGAACCTTAGAAACATTAACATACAAAAGGATCTAGGCATACACGTCTACAATTGTGGTAACACAAGTGGATGAGGTGGTCAAGAAGGCATATGGTGTGCTTGCCTTCATCGGCCAGGGCAAATCATGTTACAGCTGTATAGAACTTTAGTTAGGCCACATTAGGAATATTGTGTACAGTTCTGCTCATCACGTTACCAGAAGGATGTGGAGGCTTTGGAGAGAGAACAGAAATGGTTTATCAGGATATTGTCTGGTTTGGAGGTATTGGCTGTCAGGAGACAACAAGGTGCAGGGCTGGATGAACACAGCAGGCCAAGCAGCATCATAGGAGCAGATTGGATGAATTTGGTTTGTTTTCTCTTCAACTTCGGAGACTGAGGAGTGCCCTGATTGAAGTTTACAGAATTGAAAAGGATGGATAGTCGGAGTCTTTCTCAGGATAGAATTGTCAGTTATTAGGAGACATAGATGTGGAGGTGCCGGTCTTGGACTGGGGTGGACAAAGTCAGAAGTCACACGACACCAGGTAGTCCAACAGGTTATTTGAAATCACAAGCTTTTGGAGCGCTGCACTTTCATCTGGTGAAGTCAGCCTTCATCTGACAAAGGAGCAGCACTCCAAAAACTGGAGATTTGAAATAAAGCTGTTGGATTATAACCTGGTGTCGTGTGACTTCTGCCTGGGACACATAGATTTAAGGTAAAAAGGGGAAAGTTTAAAGGAAATATGAGAGGGAAATTTTTTTAACATAAAGGCTGGTAAGTGCTTGGAATATTTTACCGGAGGAAGTGGTAGAAGCAGATACAATAGCAATGTTTGAGGCATTTTGACTGATACATGAATAGTCAGGGAATAGAGGGATACGGCCCACATAGAGGCACATGATTTTTAGTTTAGAAAAGCGTCATATGTCAGCTCAGTCTTGCAAGGCTTAAGGGCCTGTTCCTGTGCTGTACCGAACTTTGTACCTTTCTTCATCTGTTGCTAATTCCTTCAATTTCACCTTTCCTGACTTAAGTATAGCTGACCTCCCACACTACAATCCAAATCTCAAGTATCTGTACCTTAACTCAGACGATCCATCCTGTACTCAGCCTTCCTGACTTCTCATCTGACAATATCACACTTTAAATTTCATATTTGTTTTTGAATCTCTCCACAGCTTTGACTCTTCCTATCTCTCTAACCACCTCCATCCTGTTGAGTTTTTGCACATTCTCCTCCTCTTCACTTCTGGTCTCTTGTGCATTCCTGGTTTTAAATATTTCCTAATTGGTGACTTGAAGTGTCTTCACTTGCCTGACCCAAAGCTCTGGAGCTTTCCTTGTGAAACTAGTTTGCCTCCCTATCCACTTTTAAGATGAGTGTCATCACCTATCCTTTTGTGGCTGTCTTTATTGATTACGCTTTTGTTGAGAACTTTGGGATTTTCTTTGCTTTGTCAGCGATGCTATATATATATATTGCAAGATATTGTTGATAGCAGCTGAAGAAGTGACTTGGGAACATGTGCTGTTCTCAGTTCCAAAGCACCCTCATCTTCCTTACAATTGCAGACTCTCAACCCCTTCATTGTCTCTGTTACTATTTCACTGAACCTCCCCATAGTTCACAAATTGCAGCCTTAACCACTGCTTACCCAGTGAAAGATGTTGTTTTAAAAATTGTTCCTGTTTTCCTCCTGAATGTGAGGAAACCTATAGCTAATGGTAGGGAGTGCTCCTGTGATGCAAATTAGTATCCTAAGCTGTAAAAAAGGAGTATGTGAGATACTTTACATAACATGTTTGGGCCCTATGAACTCTTCGACAGGCCAAATGTTTGACACCCCTATTTTAAAGCATTCCATATAATTTATTTGTGCCATTGAAGGAGAAGAAATGTGTAGTTATATAGCACCTTTCACATCCTCAGGATGTTATTGCATTCATACCCATTGAAGTCCTTTCTGAAACTTTGTGTTATTGTAGTCAATTTGTGTACAGCGTGATCCCAGAGCCAACAATGAATTAGAATACTAAATTTATTTTAAGAATATTGTTTACAACAATAACTTGGTTACATAATACGTTTGTTATAAGGTAAGTATAGTATTAAAGCAAAATATGGCACCCAGGCACATCAGTGATTGGCAAAAGCTTGGTCAAAGAGGTAGGTTTTTCAGAAGACATAGATGAAGAGGTTTCAAGGGATTTCCAGATCTTAGAGTTTCGAGGATAAGGGCACTCTTGTGTATTTTGAATGATATCATTGGAACTTTAATTCCACCTAAGATCGATAATAGGTCTCTTCAGATGGCAAAGGCATCGAGCTGGCAACATCTGCCGTGCCCATTTCAGATTCTGAGGTATCTTCAATACTCGATGGAAAGGGAGAACCCATGGATTCTGGAACGGTTGGAAAAGCAATTGAGGTGGCAAGCACATTTTGCTCTGCACTGTTTTCAAGTTTGCAGCTTTCATATGGTCCGCATCTACCTGAACTTTATATGTCACTGGATCTGACCTCACATCAACCATGCCTCTTACCCATGCAGAGCCATTCCAGTGGTTCCTATGCCAAACCCCTCCCCACCTGGTCCAGGAAGATCAGATTTAACCTGATGCAGAGTCTTCTCTCCAATAGCAACTCTGCTGGCGCTAACCTTGCAGTTATATTAGGGGTGGTCCTATAATTAAATAGGAACTGGGACAGTTTGGTGTCTAGTGAAGGTGCAGACTGTTTCTTCACTCCCGTGAATGTTATGGCTTGGCTACGTGACCATTTCCAAGGTTGGCCCTTTTGTTTTGAAAGAGTTGATGCAAAGTTGCCAGGATGGAGGCCAGGTTATGTATGAACTTTCTGTAATAACTCATCAGCCCAAGGAAAGACGTAAACTCTGGGGCAGCTGTGGAAGCTGAGGCCTCACTTTATCTTCCAATGGGGGTAACCTGGTCTTGTTGACTCGGTAGCCCAAGCACATCACTTAGGGTGCATGGAATACACATTTTTACCCTTTTAAGACATACGCCTGCCTGGGAGAAACGTCCAGGTTCTCCAAGTGCTCCATTTGGTCATCCCTGTTATTAGCACATCATCTAGATAAATGGTGACGTGGGGTAGACCTTGTAAAATGTTCTCCATCATCCGCTGAAAAATTACACAGGGTGACGATACCCCCAGTAGCAGTATCGTATATTGGTACAAACCATTGAGGATAATCGTATAATGGGAATACTCATCTAACCGCAATTGTAAGTACGCATGGCTCATGTCCAGCTTCAGGAAGGATAGTGCCGTCCAGCCAGCTCCACCCCACCCCGTCAGCTTTGTGTGTAAATCCTATATGCAAGGGATTGGGTCTTTATCCAGCTGTGAACCATGGTTTGCCATTTGTTTAAAATGTCCACAAAGGTGAACTGACCTGTCGGGCTACACGGTCTTTACAACCGATGTTGCCTGTGCTGCCTACTTTACAAGTTTGATGATTCCTTTGCTTTCCAATGTTCTGATTTCTGCCTGTACTTTTCTTGTAAGGCAAATGGCACTGGGCCTTGCAGAATCGTGGAATAGCTTCCTGGTCAACATGAAATGTGACCTTGGCCACTTTGATAGTTCCTAGACCTTCCTGAAACACCTCTGGGAATTTCATTAGGACTTCACTCTCGTGGCCATTTTCTTAATGAAAAGCATTGAGCCAAACTAGTTGAATCTTTCTCAATCAATTTTGCCCCAGTTTGGGTCCGGGCTTTTTTACTTCAGTCAGTGGTAACTGAACCAGCTGCTTCTCAGAAGAGACCAAACTGAAGTTGTACACTTAATCTGTAAGGGTTTCTCAGTATAGGTTCTTAGTCTAGCGGAGGCCTTGTGCAGACTTAAGGGTTGGAGTCTGGAGTGAGTTTTGTTAAAGATCGTTTCTGCAATCACTGAAATGGCAGTGTTGGTGTCGACCTCCATTAGAATTGGATGGCCATTTAACCAGACATTTATTTTAATTGGTTCTGATTTGGATGTTGCTAAGCAATTTAACTGTTCTAAACCAGATGTAGGTGGACTTTCCAGGATGTGCACTCTCTTGAATACCGACCTACGAGTTCTCTTATTCAGTTTAGATCTAGTGGGACTCTTTCGTTGTGTCGAGTCTGTATACCTGCAACAACTGCAATGGCTTGCCAGCTGAAGAAAATTATGACTGTTTGGCCAAGGTTTGGCTTTGTTTTAGGGTTTCGCTGCGGGCTCACCAAGGGTGTCTCTGTTCAGGATATATCCTGAGTGAGGCTATACAATTGCCTTCACTCAAATAGTGTTCTACAACCTCAGTCAGACTGGCAAGGGTGTCCACTTCCAATGGAATATCCTGCAACTCATAAGCTCCACTTGTTGCATTTTCTAATAACCAAAAAAAAAAGCTGTGAGTCCACAAGCTGTCAGGAGAATTACTCATTGCTTTTCATCTGCTCCAATATCATTTGCCTGGCAGAAAATAATGCGTTCTTTCCATGTACTGGACCCAGTCTTTGACGAAAGGATCGAACCAGTCAAGTTTCCCAAACGATGGCATGATGCCAGAAATGCATACCACAGCTCAAAGATGATTGTTGTGAGCGAATTTCTTCAGGACTGTGATTTTCTCTCATCACCACTGAAATAACTCCACAGAGGCCGATATTCTGTCACCAAGTCACCCTTTATTTACATATGGAAAGTCCTTGAAACTGATCCAGCTTCCTCAGAGCCAGCTCTCAGAATGAATAGAACCTTTGTTATCTGTCAGCCAGGGCTCCCTAATTGGACCAGATTAACAGGCCCAGTTAGGGAAATCATGTTGTATGAGGTCCACCTGGCTGATCACACTACAATCACTACACTAACAGTATCTTATTTTACCTCATAATCCAAAATTAGTTTGCTCCTTTCATGTAAAAGAATATAGTTTTCAAAAGTAGTGGAAAGAATTTGAATAATGCTGTAACCATCGTGAGCACAACCCATGGATGACTGTTCTACAAAATTGTTGTGAAAATTTGTGTACATTACCTTATGTTATTATTTAAACAAAACCCAAGAAGTTGCAACAGTTTTGGGCAGCTTTTATGTCAAAAATTTTGGTAAAGTATTAAAATTATTCTGTGTTCTCATGAGTAAATCGAGAACTGGGGTCCTGATTTTAAACTTTGAATTTAATCATATTAGTTCAAACTTTTAAGATGATATCTTTGAGAAGGGGCTTGGAAGTTCAAATTAAAGAAGTGACGTTATGAGTTCATTGTTGAATGTATGTTGATAGTAGGATATCTAGATATTGTTGTTCTTTAGTCTACCTCTGATGATTCCATTAGTTTCTTAATGATCAAGATTCAGCCAGCTATTGAGCCTTTCTTCTTGAATGCAAACCTCTTCATGATTTTCAATTATTTGACCATTCCAGTGTTCCTCAATGAAATCCCTGGAGAGTCTAAAACTTGAAAAGACATTTGAATTTTCAATAAATAGCTGAAGGAATGACATTGATAGCATATTTTAGGATGTTTACAGTCAAAGAAATAACTAAAAACACTACCTTCATAGCTTGTAATTTGAACCACATAGTGGAATATTCCCTCGTTATTTATAGTTTAACCAAAAACTACATTCTTCATAGGCAACCTTCCCTGCCTTTATGTAGGCATTCAGTTTTGCCAGAATCAATCCAAAGTGATTCTTATCCCCGAGGTTTTATTTCTGTTACTTTCTCAACCTGGAACTGTATTTCCTTGAGGTTTTCTTTCCTTGCACACACTTCTAGCCGGAGCTAGAATATTTCTAGCACATCTTTTGGCCTCATTTGAACTCCATGTAAATCTGTTCTCTTCAATCTGAGCAGATCCAAGCAGATCCTGTAACCCGATCTTTACAAAGGCTGCCTCTACTCTCTATCCCATATCAACCTTGTATTTAAGTGTAAGTGCTAATTAACTGTCATGGAGAGCCTAACTCTGTCTCACCTTTGAACTAAGTGAACAATTTGTTTACAACTCAACATTCTCAACACGTTTCTGGGACTTTGGAGACTCGATTTCCACTGTTAACACACAGGCTGCTGCCATTGTCTCAAATGTAAATACCTTGTACCTTCTTCCTTCTTTAAAGCCCTCCTTTGATCTCTAACAATCAAATTGTTCAGGCTCACTGTCAGGCAGACCTTAATTTGCGTGATACTCCTCATTTTACCTTAAATTTAAAGTCAAAGTCCCAGGCAAAACAATCTTATAAGTTTCAATTTTAGCAGAGTCAGTGTTCTGTGAACCTCTGTTAAACTTACCTCGAATTTATTTATAGAACTCTTAACGGAGTGCACACAGCACGTATTTAAAGTTTGATACTGTCTGGTTAGTGAAGCTTTATAAGGAATATTGAGTGATTTACATATTTATTGTCCTATTCATAATTATGTTGTCATATTCATAATATAGTCAAATTCTTAATGAAGTCCAAAGAATATGATTTGTTTTCAAGATGCCTGATATGTCTACAATGTTAATTCATTTTACTGGCTTTTTTATCTCTGAGCCTGCCTTTTTTGCAGCAGTCTGTTCTGTGTTTGAGAATTGATTTGGTTTTGTACAAGGAATGGTTTGTGACAACATTATGGCAGAACTGCTGAAACGTTGGTGCTGTCTTCATAAAACTTTCTTAGTTATAACTTTGTTTAAATTTCAGTTTCTCTACTTGAAGTTCCAAAATGGCAATGCAAATGAGAACTGAAGAGAATGCTGGAGTCGAAGAGGAAAATTTTGGACCACAAGCTATATCTCGTTTGGAGGTGAGTGTTACAAAAAAACTTGATCTTTGATAGTGGCTGGATAGATAAATCTTTGATCAATCTAGGAGATCGTTCCTAGGATGTGTGTCAATTCTGAATTGAACATTCTTGTGCCAACATAAACCACAAAGCTGGAACATCCTTTTAAAAGTGCAGGGCTGGAAAAATAGTTGGAGACCTTGAATTGCCCAAACATGAGGACACTTCTGACATCATTGCTAGTATTGTCAAAAGGAAAATAAGTAAACATTGAAAGTACAAATTATAAGTATAAATAGGCCATTCGGTTCCCTTCGCTTGTTTCGTCATTCAATAAGGTCATGGCTGATCTGTTTAGCAAGTTCCACATTCCCATCTACACCTGATTATTTTAAACTTTTCTTTGGCAAGGGAGTCAATCAACCTCCACATTAAAGATATTCAATGGCCATACCTCTATTGCTTGCTGATTACACACTTCTGGATCAAGTGGAAGTTGAACCCAGGTCTTCTCATCAAGAGTTAGGAAGGTGCCGCAAGAGTCCTATGCTTCTCTCACCTAAGTAATTGATTTAAATTGTAAAAAGTTGAGACCCAACACAGAGCTTTGTGGGGCTGCCTTCATTACATTCTGCCAATCAAGAAAAGATCCATTTGTGCCCGCGTTTTCGTGAGCCAGCCAATTTTCTGTCCAGGTGAGTATGTACTGCCCTAGACTGGGCGCTTCTACTTTGCATAATAGCCTTTCATGTGGTTTCTTGTCAAATGTCTTCTGGAAATACAAGTACACTATGTCAATAGCTCCTTATCCACAACACATTTTACTCCTTCAAAGATCTCCAATAAGTTGGTGATACAATTTCCCTTTCACAAAAGCATGCTGACTCTTCCCGATTATGTTAAATCTTTAAGTGCCCAGCTGTAACCACTCTGATCATCAATTTCTAGCACCTTCCCTATGTTAGTGTAAAGTTGACTGGCCACTAATTTCCTGATTTCTGTCTTCCCCTTGTCTTTAAAAAGTAGGTTATATTAGCTCATTGTCAATGTCATGGAATCTCTCCCAAATCTAGAAAGTTTTAGAAGTTAACACCAACCCATTTGCTATCTCATTAGCCACCTCTTCTAAGACCTTAGGATGAGGTTTATCAGAATCTGGGACCTTTTATCAGTCCGCTGCTCCATGAGTTTGCTCATTATCACTTGCTGGTCATTGTAATTTTTCTATGTTCCTCTTCTCTTTCCACCTCCTAATTTACAGCTATTAATAAGATATTTTTGTATTGTCTGTAGTGAACACAAGCAAAACATTTATTTGTCTCAGCTGCTCTTTGCTTATCGGCTATTAACTCCCTCTCCCCCCGTCTTCTGCCCCCTACCTCCCCCTCCTCTCCCCTCCCCTCCAGAGGTTCACCACTTTCATTATTTATTCTTTTCCATTTTAGTTACCTGTAGAGGGTCTTGTTATCTGTCTTTGTTTTTAGCTAGCTTCCTATCATGTTCTGATTCATTTTCTCTTGAATAATCATTTCATCATTCTCTTTGATTCTTTATATTGTGACCAGTCACTTGACCTGATGCTCATCACTGCGCAATTGTATGCTTTTTCCTTAAAGTTTGACGCTTTCCTTAACTACTTTAGTTTATCATGGCTGATGGGAAATTTTTTCCATGATCGGAATGCACTTATTCTGAGTATTCTGAAACATTTCCTTAAATGTCTGCCACTGCTTCTCTCTTGATATATCTCCTAGCCTAGTAACCAGTTCGTTGCGGCTAGCTCAACTTCCATGCCCTTATTTAAGTTTAAAATGCTAGTCTTAGACCCAAACATCTCCCTTTCAGTCTGATGTAAAGTTCATTCATATTGTGATCATTACTGCCTGGGGGTTGCCTTTACTCTGTGTGATTAATTAATCTTGCCTCATTACGCAATGCCGTATGTAATCTATTTTGCTGTCTGATAGATCCATCTGGAACCAATCTCAAAGCATTCTGCAAACATCTCAGCCAGGCTACTATTGCCAACTTGATTTTTCCAATTTATTGCCCATGATTATTGTCATTCCTTTATCACAAGCAGCCAACATTTCTTCTTTTATACGTTGTCCTACATGTGATTACTGTTAGGGGGGTTTGTAGATTACTCCTGTTAGTGATGACTTTCCCCTGTTATTATTCATTTGCACCCAAATAGAATCTATGTCTGACCTTCTGAATGAGAGTCATCTCTAACTACTGCATCAATGCCATGTCTGATGCCACCCCTCTAATATTATCTAGCTCCCGTTCTTCTTGCCTGTTTCATATGCCATAATATTCAGGATACAATCCATGTCATTATGCAACCACATTTCCGTAATGGCTATCAGATCTTATTTACTCCAGTGTGTGCCTTCAATATGTTTATTTTATGAATGCTATTCACATTCCAGTACAGAGCCTTTATTTTGTTGACTTGTGAACTTTGTTGCATCTATTTGTACCAACATAGAGACAACAGCTGAATCATTTCAGCCTCCCTACCTCTATTCCCAACACAGTAAAGTTAAAACCTTCAAAGACCCTCAAAATTGACCCCAATGGTTCCTAACTAGAATTTTTGAATAACCAACCCTAGACTTCTCCAGATACCGGGTTTATAGATTAAACAAAAGATTTAATAATTTGTTAACAATACAGTAACTCTGGCAGAGCAAAATTAAACAGCAAAGTAATCTAACTAATGTTTATGATTTAAATTGTCATGACCATCATGTTCTCTCCCAGGCTCTGGTACCAATTCCCAGGTACTGAGTTTATTAATGGCAAAACATCTATCTGTTTAAACATACTGCTTTCTCCAGAGTCTAAGATTCTATAGAGTCCTTTGTTCAAGAACCAATCTGCAATTAACTTCCGGGCCTGGCCTCACAAACAAGCAGCTTGTTTGTTCCATTTATTAAGCCCAAGGTGCTGCACACAGTCCAAAGATATCTTCACAGTTCACAGCTCCAAGCCAAAAATTATATATTAAAAAAGGAAACATCAGCGAGGGTTCTGACTCTAGTCTTTACTGGTGGTGTATTTAGTTTTTCTCTGTCCTTCTCTGACCTTCTTTTCCCATATTACCACTTTGCTCTCCTGCCTCGACTCTATCCATTGATTTGCTGCATCCACCCAAGTTGGAATCCTTGCTGCCGCTTGTTTAGTTTAAGGTTCTTTCCCCTTGCCAACTAATGCAGCATGTTAGAACACCAGTCTCAGCATAGTTCAGGTATAGACTATCCAAATGGTATAGGTCTCAATTTCCAAGTACTGATGCCAGGGCCCGTTGGACAAGAATTGTAGCCATAGAGCCATATAGCACAGTCCTTCGGTCCGACTCGTCCACGCTGACCAGATATCCTAAACTGATCTAGTCTTATTTGCCAGCATTTGGCCCGTAATCCCTCTTAAGCCTTTCCTATTCATGTACCCATCCAGGTACCCTTTAAATGCTGTCATTATACCCACCTCACCACTTCCTCTGGCAGCTCGTTCCATTGACACTCCACTCTCTTTGTGCAAATGTTGCCCCTTGGGTCCCTTTTAAATCTTTCCCCTTTCACCTTAAACCTATGCCGTCTAGTTTTGGACTCCTCTGCCCTGAGAAAAAGACCTTGGCTATTCACCCTATCCATGCTCCTCATGATTTTATAAGCCTCTATAAGCTCACCACTTAGCAAAACTTAGTTCTCCTATACGAGCTTTTAAGCCATGCATTAATTTCTCTAAACTTATTTCCCTATGCCATTTGGCTGAGGTACAAATCCAGAGATTATCAAGTGAGGTTCTGCTTTTCACGTTAGCGCCTAATTTACAGCAGAAGTTTCTTAGTTCTTCCTATGTCATTGCTACCATTGTGGAATTTTACCAGTGGATCTTTTCCTTCTCCAGCCTAGAGCAAATAACTTGAACTCTGACATAAGGCAGACAACACAGCTGTCTGGACTTGCACTCTTTGTGTCACACAACAGTGTCAATCTACCTCCTTATACTGTTTCCTACTACCACTTTGTTCCTTTTTGCCCTTTCTCACATGAATGGCATCTCATACAACAGTGCCGTAGTCAATTAGCTTTTAGTCCTCCATCCTTTAGTCCTCAGTCTCAGCCAAGCAAACTTAAAAATTCTCAAGGTGCAGGGCTGGATGAACACAGCAGGCCAAGCAGCATCGTAGGAGCAGAGAGGCTGACGTTTCGGGCCTAGACCCTTCATCAGAAAAGGGGGAGGGGAAGGGGGTTTTAAAATAAACAGGGAGAGAGTGGGAGGCGGATAGAAGAGGGATAGAGGAGAGGATAGGTGGAGAGGATCCAAACAGGTCGACGAGGCGGGGATGGAGCCAGTAAAGGTGAGTGTAGGTAGGGAGTTAGGAAGGGGATAGGTCAGTCCGGGGAGGACGGACAGGTCAAGGGGGCGGGATGAGGTTGGTCGGTAGGAGATGGAGGTGCGGCTTGAGGTGGGAGGAGGGGATAGGTGGGAGGAAGAACAGGATAGGGAGGCAGGGACGAGCTGGACTGGTTTTGGGATGCGGTAGGGGGAGGGGAGATTTTGAAACTGTGAAATCCACATTGATACCATTGGGCTGCAGGGTTCCCAAGCGGAATATGAGTTGCTGTTCCTGCAACCTTCGGGTGGCATCGTTGTGGCACTGCAGGAGGCCCAGGATGGACATGTCGTCTGAGGAATGGGAGGGGGAGTTGAAATGGTTCGCGACTGGGAGGTGCAGTTGTTT